AGTTCTGCTTCTTAATCTGTCTTGGTTTGGAAGCTCTGAAGAAACCTGTCCACTATGGGCCACCCAGTTGATAAGTGGTACAGCTTTCAGCATTACAGCAACACTTGTGCCATCATAGTACAGAAGACTGCCAGTTGATGAATTATTCAGATTTATACACAAACTACTAAAGCCAAAAGTAAAGAAGTTGAAAATTTCTACCATCAAGGTGCATTAATGATAGTTAATGATTGGAGTATAAAAGTTGGAAACATGGGTGAAAAATTGTTTGGTGCCATCTAGTTAAGTATGACTCATTGTAACCCTGTGAAGGATATATCTGAAACCTGTCCTATCCAGTGCCATTTTCATAGTCTTTCACATAGTTGAGGTCATAGCTTCAGTCACTTTGTCAGTTCATCTCGTTGAGGGTCTTTTTTTTTTATTAAATTTTATTACTTTTAATGAACATTTACTGAGATTTTGGGTTTTCATTCATTCATTGTTGCACTATTTTCTCTACCCTACTCCCCAGTTCGTTCTTCTTTTTTTTTACCCCCTTGTAAGTCTTTTTTAATTGTCCAGTTGCCACAGTGCTTGTCAAATCAGCCCTGATTAATCTCCTTTGTCAGTGTGTCCTTTGCCATTTCCTGTCACTCCTTCCTGAGAGAGACTTCACTCTGATTCATAAGGAAAAGGGGACAGCGTATTATCTTAGCTACTTCCTGCTGAAAAGGGACGCTGTAGGTTTTAGGGTGAAGATCTTCTCTCACTACTCTAAAGCGCCCCTTTCCTTCACTGACCCACCACCTTTCCAAAACTAATGTCACTTTCCAAGGACTCGCCTCTTCCAACAGTTTTCTTAGTGTATGTGAAGCATTGTCATCTGTGCCTCCAAGGAGCCTTCTGGGTACACTTTTCTCCAAGACCTTGGTTATTGAAATGAGGCCAAAATTTGCATAATAGAATTTGCTAAGATGAATAACTTGTTCATTGCTTTCCTGAAAACCGTATTAGTGAGTATACATGAGCTGCATTGAGATTGTGACTGCACCAGTGGGGTTAACACAACAGAGATTGTTTGGTGTCTTGAACACTAATGATTGAAGACTTGATAAATTATGGGTGACACCAAGGACATCATACATGAAGAAAAAAAATGTCATTAAAAAGAGAATAGAAAAGTTATGAGAGACTCTGAAACTTGCTCAAGAATGCAGAGACGCTAAAGCTAATAATGTAAAAGAGCTGAACAGAAAATTTCAAAGGGCAGCTTGAATAGACAAAACACTGCAGTGACAGGTACAAAGACCTGGAATAAGAAAACGAAAAGGTTTTGCTTATTTTTTTAACTGCATGGAGGCATTCAACTGTGTGTGTGTCATTACAAAATATGAGTAGTATTACAGGTAATGAAAGAGTCCAGAACACTTAATTATGCTAATGTAAAACCTGTATATAGACCAAGAAGCAGTCATTTGAACAGAACAGGGGAATACTTTATGGTTTAAGTCAAGAATAATACTGATCAGGATTGTATCCTTTCACCTTGCATTAATCCACTGCATGGCTTAAAATAAAAGATGTGCATCAAGGTTGTATCCTTTCTCTATACCTATTTCAGTCTGTGTGCTGAGCGAATAGAGAAACTGGATTATATGATGTAGAATGTGGCAATAGGACCGAAGGAAGAATCAGTAACAACTTGAATTATTCAGAGTTCACAACCTTGCTTGAAGAAAGTGAAGAAGCACTTATTGCAGAAGTTCAGACTGTAACCTTTAATATGGATTACATCTCAACATCAGAGAATCCTCACCACTGGACCTATAGACTGTATCCTGATAGGTGGAGGAAAAATGTAATTTACAAATAATTTCATTTTACTTGGATCTACAGTCGACACCTATGGTAGCAGCAGTCAAGAAATTAAAAGATGTTGCATTGGAGAAAGCAGTTGTTACGGACCTCTCCAACATGCTAAAATGAAAGGATGCATGTTAACATTTTGCTACACACTTTTAAATTGACGACCATGCTTAGAAACACATTTTGCTGTCATCTGTGGGTCAGTCACATCTTGGTTAAAGACCAAGATGTGACTGACCCAAGACATGATATTTTCAATTGATTTAAAAGCTGGACAGTGAGTAAGCATAATAGAAGAATTAATGCCTTTGAATTGTGGTGTTTGAAACCATGAGCTTCCAGAAGAACAAACATCTATATGTCTTAAAATAAATGTAACTGAGATACTCTTAGAGGCAAAGTTGGTGAAACTTCATTTCACGTACTTTTGGCATATTTCCAGAAGGAGCCCTTAGAGAAGTCATGCTATGAAATGTCAAGTGGAAAGAGTGGAAGACCGCAGGAAGATTGATTGAGACAGTGACTGTATCGTGGATTCAGTCATGTTAAGAGATTGTGAAGATGGTACAGGATAGGACAAGATTCAGTTCTGTTCAAAGGGTAGCTATGCTCGAAGGGTAGTCTGCTTGAAGGTACCTTACAACAACAATTTCACCTGAGCTGCTTCTGTTTTCATAATCTACTTCCTATAAGCAGTTGAGCATGACAGATAATGAGCATGGCTCAAGATAGGGCGAGGTTATCGAAAAACAAGAAACTCATGCAATATTATTTAAAATGGGTGACCCTCAAGGACAATATGCTGAGTGAAATATTTCAGTCACAAAAGGACAAACACTGCATAGTGCCACTGCTGTAGAATTAGACTGACATCAGGGTTAGGGTACGAATGAGAAAAACTGGATGAATTATGTGTACTGAATTGAAACGGATGAGGGAGAGAACAGTTTGAAAGCAATATAGGGCATTATGATTCTCATTAGAGTCCAGAATGAAGGTTGCAGGATTAATTATAATCGGGGTGGGGGTGGAGGGGTGTGAGGGGACTGTATATCAATGAAGGAATTTTTCTTATACTTTTGAAAGAGACGAGCGAACTGGGGGTGGGGGTGTGGGTGGGGTGGGCAGGGAGAAAAGTGCAACAATGAATGAATGGAAATCCAAAATCTCTGTAAATGTTCATTGGAATTAATAAAAAATAAAAAAAGATAGGGCAAGGTTCAGATTTGTTGTTCATAGGGTTGCTTTGAGTTGTCGATGGCACAACAGTGTCTTTTCACTATACTTAGAATTTGTATACTGCACAAACTTGAGAAACTGAATTACATGAAAAGAATTGGCTCAGGATTGGAAGAAGACTTTTATTTGGGTGATACGAGATTGTTGCAAATAAAGAATACTTGACACCTCATCCTAGTGAATGAAGATCAAAACCTGTTGCCTTCAGTATGGATTACACCTCAAAACTGGTCAGGACAAAAATTGACATTGTAACTAGAAAAAATTGTCAAGGATTTAATTTTACTTGTATTCATGATTAGCATGGAAGCAGCAGTTTAGAAATGATATAATGGGCATAACTGCTACCAGGGAGCTCTTTAAAGTGCTAAAGAGCAAGAATGCCATTTTAAGTTGCACCATATTTTCACTCCACTTAAAAGCATTTGAAAGTTGTACAGTGAATAAGCAAGACTGAGAGAGAATTGATGCCTTTAAATTGTGATGTTGAGGAGAATGTAGACTATTTCATGGAATGCCAAGAGAATAAACAAATTAGTTTTGAACACATTCAGCCAGAATGTTCCTAGAAGAAATATGGTAAGACTTCATCTCGCGTAATACGGGCAGAAGTTATTCTCTGAAGAATGATAGCATGTTTGGTAAATGTAGAGGGTTAG